TCGTGTACGCGAGTCTGTCGAAGGTAATCAAGTAGCTTCACACGAAAGTTGACCGGGCTAGCGGCAGTATCGGAACCGACGGCCTGAAGGATGTGGCATGGACCGAAAAAACGACACCTGAAGTTGTGAAGCGTATCCGCTTCGAGCTACAAGTGGCATGCGTCGACGAGCACATCGTCACCGACTTTGAATGAATGATCCATTCGTGATCGGTTTGCTCGTGCGACCATGTAAGTCTGGGAGTCGGCTGCACTCTTGTGTGCGCGCCCACCATGTGGGCGATCTAGTCGTCAAGCGCAAGACAACGAGTGTCTCGGCGCAACTGCGATGGTCGAAGGAAGTCTGTGGGTATGCGAGGGTGGTAGCCGAGGTCGCAATAGAATGACGAAACAGCGTGGTTGTACGCAATCTCCGCATGGGCTAAGTGTAAGTCCCACTATTGGTCATCCCTAACAAACTTTCAGAGGATATTACCGAGAGTTTTATTGGTAATCTCGGTCTGACCATCCGTCTAAGGGTGGTAAGACGATGAAAAGCGGAGTTGGGATCCGTACACCTCGTGTAGGCGTCGTCAGAATGTGCTGGTAAAGCGCGGGTCACGGTCGGAGATGATGCTCTGAGGTAAGCCGTGATCTCTCATGACTTGGTCGAAGACGATATCGGCGACCTCACAAGCACTAATACGGTAGCAGCACGGGATAAAATGTGCACGCTTCGTGAAACGATCGACGACGACCAAGATAGCATCAGGACCGAGCTCAGTGGGTGGGCAGAGGGGACCAATGAAATCCATCGAGATGGACTGCCAACGACCCTCGGGTATAGGTAGGGGTTGAAGTAACCCATACGAAAGGTGGTTCACACTGTTCACCTGCTAGCAGGTAGGACACTCCTGGATGTAGACTTTGACGAAGTCCTTGGACTTCGGCCAGACGTATAGGCGGCAAACACGAGCCAACGTCTTGTGGAAGCCCATATGACCGGCAACTGCCTGGTCGTGAAACTCGGCCACAGCCTAAATGCGGAGTTGTCGGTGGAGGGAACACAGATACGTGGTTCTAGCTGCCCAGATCTGCCATGTCAGTACACAAGGCCGTTCTCCTCGAGGGAGTTGGAAGGAACGGTCTTGTCACTCCGCAGTGTTGTGTGGATGACGCGATAATCGGGGCAGTGGCGGTACTGAGTGCGATATGCATCGATCACCGACTGATCAACAGTGGTGATGGAGATGGCAGCAAGATGAATGGGTTTCTGATTGTGATTAGGACACAGGGAGAAAACAGCGGCGACGTGGTTCGTTTCACCCTTGATGGGCTGAGTGGTGAAACTGAACTAGGATAAGTCACACCACCAACGTGTCTGTCGAGGGGAAAGCTTGGGCTTCGTGAGGAAAGCCTGGACAACTACGTTGTCCGTGAGCACCGTGAAGAGCGCCCCTTGCAGGTAATGACGCCAATGCTGGGTGGCATAAACTACTGCGAAAACCTCACATTCATCGGCATTGTAGTTTATCTCGACAGGCTGTAGCTGACGGCAGTAGAAGGCGATCAGACAATCCCCAACACGAGCCTCAACAGTCCCATCCTCCGCGATGGTCGGGGAGTATCTAATAGGAGGACTGTCTGTGGAGGGAAGTGGTGGGAAGATAGGCGTCAGTCGAGAAGCAGTCTCAGCAGGAAAGGGGGGGGAAAGGAGGAATATGGGGATAAGGTAAATCAGGAGGAGAGGGAAACCCCTGAGAAAGTACTGCTCCTACTGCAAAATCTAACACATCAGTGGTGACGATGAAGGGGCGATCAAAATCTGGGAGGCGAAGAACCGACGCACAAGTCACCGCCTTCTTGAGGGCGCAAAAGGCGTTCTCAAAGAGGGGTGTCCAAAACCACAGCGGGTTCTTCTGGAGGAGGGTGGAGGTAAGGACGTAGGAATACCTAGCATATCCTCTGGATAAAATTACTACAGTAGCTAGTGAGGCCTAGGAAACTGCGAAGATGCTTGGCAGATGTAGGTACGGGCCACTCTGCAATAGCAACGATGTTCGTGTTGTCCATGTGGAGACCCTGGTTAGACACATGGTGTCCTAGGAAATCCACTTTGCGTTCGGCAAAGCGGCACTTACTAAGCTTGGCATAGAAGTCATGCTTGCGTAAGCGCTGTAGGACATCGCGGAGGTATCTGGTATGGTCTTCTAAGGTACGACTGAAGATGTCGTCCAGGTATACGAGAACGTATTCTTCAAGAATATCCCTGAAGATGTCGTTCAAGCGCGACCGGAAGGCGGTCTTCGGCTGATCCTCCGCGGCAACGCGGATCTGGTGATAACCGCTACGAAGATCGATCTTCGTGAAGAAGCGGTTACGTGCCAGATGGTAGAACAGCTCATCCGCGCGAGGCATGGGATAGCTGTTCTTAAGGCCGCGGTAGTCAATGCAAAGGCGGAGAGTTCCGTCCGCTTTGCGAGCAAAGAGGACAAGTGCACCCCAAGGGGAGTTACTGGGTT